AGTATTTTTCTGGAAATTTGAGATCCCCACCAAGGTAGAACTGTTACTGTCGATCCCCACCAACATTTGACCGCCACCACCACTATTCTCACCGGAATCTACCTTCATAGCCACCACACCAAAGGTTTTCTTTTTTATATTTTTATATATAATATGTTGATTTTGTGTATATAGAAGTGTATTTATATGTGGATTTGTATGTATATTTGTATTTTGGATGTGTATGATGTATATATATATATATATATATATATATATATGATTTTATGTATTTGTATGTGTATCATATATGTGTATTTGTATGCGTATGATGTATGTATATGTATTTTTGGATTGTATATGTGTATTTATATGTATAGAAAATTATGTATGTAGTTTGTGTATTTGTATGGAATTTGGAAACTACAATGCTATAATGACAAAAAAATGAAAAAAACAAAGTAGGATGCTATAATGGAAAGTGTATTTGTATGTATATGCAATATGTGTATTTGTATGTGTATGTATGTATGTATTGATTGGAACATCATTTAACTTTTAAGGGCTTATTTGGAAAGTACATTGCTATAATGGAAATTGTATTTGTATGTATATGTAATATTTGAATTTGTATGTGTATGTATGTATGTATTGATTGGAACATCACATAACTTTTAAGGGGCTTATTTGGAAAGTACATTGCTATAATGGAAAAAATGAAAAAAAAGTAGGATTCTATAATGCAAAGTGTATTTGTATCTGTATGTAATATGTATATTTGTATGTATATGTATGTATGTATTGAGTGGAACATCACTTAACTTTTAAAGGTTAATTTGGAAAGTACAATGCTATAATGGAAAACATGAAAAAAAGTAGGATGCTATAATGAAAAAATATGATACTATAAAAAAACATTTGCAAAATGTACAATGATCAAATAGAAAAAAAAACAATATAATACTTAAATTACAATATTATTATAAAAAAGTTTAAACACAATCAAATGTCATAAATAACAAAAATATGGTAAATTACAATGCTATAATAGGAAAACATATGATACTATAAAACAAATATATGCAAAAGTATAACGCTTAAATATGATACTATATTGTGTTTTTATATTATACATCTTATAATTTTGCAGGCTATATATGTGGTTTAGTTGGTTGATACTCTTTTACACGATGGCCGGTGTGATGGGATTAGGACATAGAGGTGATGGAGCCGGGGATCCACCTCCTCCTGTAGGCTTTGGTCGCAGACAACACAAAGAGGATGGTAAGTCTTATTATGCTATATTTATTAGCTATTTTTATTCACTTATTGCAAACTATCGTGACTAATATTTTTAATTATATTTTTTAGCTGAGCTACCGAAAAAAATCGGGGATTATCTAAAAACATCGAACTCGCAAAGCTAATACGAGCGAACAAGGGAAATCCCATTGATTTGGATTTCGACAGAGAGCTCACATTTTTCCCTGTCAGGAAACGTGGCAATATGTACCCATGAGATTGGGTAATATATGTGGCAAAACAACCCTTTTAGCGTATCTGGTTGGGATAATGTTTTCCCCGCTTTAAGGAATGTCACAGTTGTGCATCTGAAGGTAAACTATTTATATGATAATATTTAAAGTTTATTTGTGATTGTTATTTAATTAATTAACTTTTTTTGTATTTGTAGAGAAAGTTTGATTTGGATAAAATTAACATGGATGCCCAACGTGCTCATTTATTGCATAGGGTTGATGCGACTCTACAAAGAATTTATAGCGACATGAAAAATAAAACGCATACTTATTTTAAGAATGTCGGAGGTCTTGAAGATAACCCAAGAGCATTAGCTACCCTCCCAAAGGGTATGTCACCTGAAAATTGGGCAAAAACAATCGAAAATTTTCAAATGCCCGAATTTATATAGCGTTCGACGACAAACAAAGGAGTTCTTGCCCAACAAGTTGTAAACAGAGGAGGATCATGTTCGTATAGCAGTGCATGTTTCAAAGAAGTAAGTTATGATATAATTAACTATTTATTTAAAGTATAATTAATCTTATTTTTAATGTTAAATAGGACATCACTAGACTCGAAGCATTTTTGTAAGGCCAATAGCCTAATACTGATCGTCAAGGGGTATTTAGTAGTCCTACAGTCGAGCAACGATATCTAAGTGGTTAATTTGTATTTTCATATAAGTGTTTATATATATATATATATATATATATATTATGATGTTAATCATTTTTTTTTTCTGAAAATACAAAATGCTTTGCTCCAAGAGATCAATCAACAAACTCAAGATTCTTCTGAAGCAAGCGGTCTGATATTAGAGGGCATAAAATATATTTAATTTGAAAGAATTTTGGGTGTTCGATGCGGCCATATCAGAGGCATCGGGCGTAAAATTTTTACGATTGTGTCGATGTACGATTAGGAACAAACACTGACACAACCACCGCCACAATCATAGATAGCAAAACTATTTAATTTCAAAATCTCATATATATATATATATATATATATATATATATATATATATATATATATATATATATATATATACACACACACACGCACACACACATACACACTTTGGTTATAGTTTGATAATAGTTTCAAATGTTGGTAATTGTTAGTTTGGTAATAGTTTCAAATGTTGGTAATTGTTAGTTTGGTAATAGTTTATATGCAGTGGCGAGTCTAGAATAGAAACCCACATGGTTCACTATTTAAATTAAAACGATAATATAAAAGAGTAAAAAAGTTATTATTAGCGGGTCGGGTCGGTAGTGAACGGCGATGGCGACAGTGAAGAATTAAAGTTTTTTTTTTGCTATTTACGTCTTCGTTCATGCGTAATGCTGAGGCCGACGCTTGAATGATGAATAAATATTCACGGTTTTGCTTTTTTTTATTATCTAATTTTAAGTTGTATTGAGTTATTTCTTAATAGGTAATATTCTAAGTAAACTAAATATTTGTGTTACTGGATATAAAAGATGGGCAAAAGAAGTCTTGTTTTATCTCAATTTTTTTTTCCCAAAAGTGGTTTACTCATAAAATTTAAGGTAGGTCACATATATTTTTTATATATTTTTTTTATAAAAGAAAAGAACTTAGGTGGGTCAAGTGACCCACCTCGGGCCTATATATACTCGCCACTGTTTATATGTTGGTAATTGTTAGTTTGGTTATAGTTTGATATATTTGTATTTTGTAGTTTGGTTATAGTTTGAATATTGGTATTTTGTTGTTTGGTAATTGTTAGTTTATGAAAGTACAACGCTATAATGGAAAAAATAAAAAAAGTACAATGCTATAGTGTGTTATATGCAATATGTGTAGCATGTATGTTTAAGTCTATTTGGAAAGTACAATGTTATAATGAAAAAATGAAAAAAAAAGTAGGATGCTATAATCATCATGACCTTAGTTTGTAAAGTAGAATGCTATAATGGTATCTTGGTGATATATTTTGTACTTTGCTTATATTTTCCTAAGTTTAGTTATAGTAGAATGCTATAATGATATGTTGGTAATACATTTTGTACTTTGCTTATATTTTCCTAAGTTTAGTTATAGTACAATGCTATAATAGAAAAATGAAAAAAAAGTACAATGTTATAATATATATGCATCATGTGTAGGATGTATGTTGTTTCTACTTTGCTTATATTGTCGTAAGTTGTTGGTTTAACTTATAAGACTATGTTGTTTTTTTTTTTTTTTTTTTTTTTTTTTTGGTAGTTGGAACTATTCAAACAATGTTAAAAGACCCGACATGTAGTGCCGCACTTGAAGAATGGTTTCGTTCGTTTCTACAACGAAATGAAATCGAAGGAAATGAGGAGAGCGATGATGACGAGTAGCTACTTTTAGGATTTTTGTAATGTTTTGTTTTGTTAGTATTTTAGACTAGTATTTTGTATAGTTTGTAGTATGTTAATTTAGATGAGTATTTGAACGGATGTTGGATTAATATTTTGGATAGATGTTGGATTAGATTAAGTAACATCATAACAGTTTTTATACTTTTTACAGAGTTTTTTTTTTATAATTTTTTATAACTTTAACGTTAAATATAAAAAAAAAATGAAAAATACAATTACCGACGACGCCTTTAGTGGTGACACTTGGTTATTAGCGGCGACATGCCTTAATTTAGCGGCGACGGATAACATTAGCGGCGGTAATTGGAGTATTAGCGACAAAGCATCATCGACTACCTTTTAGTGACGCCTGTCGCCGCTAATACTCACGTCTCTTGCTATGGATATGTCGCCGCTATTGCCTTTAGCGGCGATGTTGTGTTGTTTTAGCGGCATAATGTGTCGCCGCTAATGATTGTTTTATTGTAGTCGCCGCTAATGATTGTTTTATTGTAGTGGTCAAAGCTTACCTATTGATCAAACGGCGACGATCTGAAGAGGGTCGCGTTTTTTTCGATAAAATTTTGTGTTGCTAACTCTTAGATGGCGTTCTGTTTTCTTAAAGTTGCCGTTTTGAATAAAAAAAGTCCTAATTTAAACCGTTCTAAAACTAAATTCACCAAAAATATTTAATTCGGAAGTTGAGTGTGGTTTCACTACTCTTATCAAAGAGAAATGGGAAATGCTGCGATCATGACAAAGACGGAGGAAAGTTTACTTTCAACTTATTTGGATTCATTCAATAAAGAAATAATTAAATTTCTCGGCATATGTATCTCTCTGTGGAAGAAGGTGTTTATTCAACGAGTAGGACTGTCTTTTCTTCATTTTCATATTATAATTTTAAAGTATTTTTTGTTGCAGGATTTGGTACTCTCGAACAATAAATTATTATTGTAGGAATTTGTGCTACAACGATTGAATTCTTATGAGACCTACCCCATATTTTTTCCTCCTATTATAATTTCTGTACACATACAGATGCGTACATGTATTGCTTTTTTATGTATATGTACATATATGCATACCAGTGGGTGCATATAATATATATAGATGGAGAATTATTTATCTTACATGAGAGCGAGAGAGAGAGAGAGAGAGAAAAGAGGAGAGAGAGAGAGGGAGAACATCTTTGCAAAAGATCTATCTACCTAGGGTTTCAAACTTGTTTGTAAAAGATCTATCTACCTAGGGTTTCAAACTTGTTTCCAGTATGTTTGTCTACAGTATCCTAAATGTATTATTGATCACTGTATCATAGGGTTCATTCCTAAAATGGAAAGACATGGTAGAGAAGTTTTGAAGAAAAGTCTACAAAATTCTGTGTTCAAACTTCAACGCCAGCAGTAGGATTACTTGTTTGAAGCATTTCTATTAATGAATTTACTTAGACTAACGGATGATTGCAACACATAGAGGCTACAACATCGAACAAAAGGAGATCAAAAAAGAGATCAACTAATTAAGCATATATGGAGAGAAGTCAAGAAACCAAGTGTTCCAAGACAAGTTCGGATTCGTATCCGAATGAGGAGGGCGAGGAAGAAAGCGAGTCAAAGGAAGTTGTGGAGTTGAAGGATGGAGGAAGTTCTAGCAATAGCACGATAGAGGAGAGTGATAAGAAGCCATCTGTCCGACCTTATGTCCGATCTAAGATGCCTAGACTCCGATGGACCAATGATCTGCATCTTCGTTTTGTTCAGGCAATCGAGAAGCTTGGCGGACAAGAAAGTAAGTAACCATACATGTCTTTATGTTGTTCGAGTTGTCCTTGAGCAGCTTCTAGATCATAACGACTTTTTCTTGACAGTTTTAATTCCATTCTGTGCAGGAGCGACTCCCAAACTGGTTCTTCAGTTGATGAATATCAAAGGACTTCACATCGCTCATGTCAAAAGTCATTTACAGGTTCTTCTACTGTTAATAGACACGAAAGTGTACAACGATAGATTTATATATATCGAATTCTAACATCAAAATGGATTCTAATTATTTCTCTTAATTTTGGGTGTTTCTTTCATCAGATGTATAGAAGCAAGAAGATCGAGGATCCAAACCAAGGTATGCTAACTCCTCACTGTGTAGCCCTAATAATCAACAATAGGGTTCATCTCTCTCTCTCTCTCTCTCTCTCTCTCTCTCTCTCTCTCTTTTGGTGACGTGATTCATGTTAATATCTCGATATTGCAGTAGCTGATCCAAGGATTGAAGGTGGAGATCGAAATATTTTCAACCTTAGCCAACTACCAATTGCTTCAATGCTACAACCGAACATATGATTCAGCCTTCAGGTAAAACATATATGTAAACTACAAGAAAATTAGAATTTGCAATGGTTAAATATCAGTTTCAATCACACGTGTTCTTGTTGTACCATTTCTGTACCTTTAGATCTCAGTTTGTTCTTTGTATGCATCTTTTAAATGTTTACTAATTATCCATTTTTGGCGTTCAAAGATATGAAGATCCACCGCCGTATCGTCGTGATTGGATGCATAACGCATTGAGGGAGCATTGCTCATTTCAAAAAACAAAACCAAGATTTTATAACATCGCTGATAGAATTCTTGCAATAAACCATGTGGAACAAGCAAATCGTAGTATGCAAAGTAATCTGCCTCCTCTTAATGAAAAATTTTCATGGGGAACGCAGGAAGTTAATGATAATTTTGGATCAAGAATCTGTGAGAAGATGGACATGTTGCAAGGCCAATACTCCAAGCTGCCAAACCCCACCGAAAAACTCAATCCATTCAAGGTTCAAGAACATCAAAATATCCCTCTAGATTTAGAAAGTACAAGTCTTGAGAAGCATAAAGGAACAAAGAGGAAGGCATCTGATCCGATTCTTGATTTAAATCTGTCTCTTGGGGTCCACTCAGGAGCACTGAGAGCCCGAAAGCTGTGGAAGAAGACCATGACGATGGAGAAGGAGAAGAACGAAATTTGTCATTGTCATTGTATTCACCATCTTTCTCAAGAAACAGAAAAAAGTTAATAACAGAAGATGATCATAGCAATGATCAAAAAGCTAAAAGGGCAAGTACTCTGGATCTGACTATATGAATGAGACAAATTCTAAGTGAGATCTTGAGGTACTTGTTCTAGAGCATGCACTTGTGATTTTCCTCTTCCATCATCTTTTTAAAGTTAAAGAAAACCATCTGCATATTAATCTTGTTTTATTGTTTGTCATTTATGATCTCTTCTTGTTTGCTACTATAGGTACTGATATGGCTTTTAAACAATATTTACTACACGTATTCTATTTTTGCGTTGCAAAATTGCTATAAATCCTGTGCGAACGCAAAAAGATCCTTACACCTTTAAGATTGACCGCTTTAGACCAAAAATGCCAAGGATAATTGTATTTATTGCAATTCTGCATTCTAGTTTCCATGGTTTTTTCCAAAAATTGCAAAAAGCCAAAACGGGATTTTTTTTTCTTTTTGTTTTTGTTTTGTTTTGTTTTTTATTTTTTTTGTATTTTGTATTTTTTTTTGTGTTTTGCATTTTCACTTAATGATTTATTTGTACCGATAAACAAGTAGAATTAATGGAATACTCAATCACTATACGAAAAAAGAGTACAGTACTTTTTTTAATAAAATGGATATATTTGCATATAGCGGAATTGAATAGGATCATTATCATGTGAAACATGCAACACCAACACGTAAAGATTTGTATAGATTTTGATTATCGAAGGATTATTACACCCCATTTTTGCGGCATATATATAGATTCTGGCGGATCTGCGCATGGAGGTTTTGTTTGGTTTCATGTTGGCCTTTTGGAGTGAAAATGCGCCCTTTAGGTTGCGTCTAGTTAAGGGTTGAAATACAGGTGATATCAAAGAAGATATGATTCAAATCAGTCTCACTCCTCTCTCTAGTTTAATTAATGATTGTATGTGAAATATATGTTGCCTCTAAAAAAGAATATGTGTCCCCTACATGTGAATATTGAAAGGATGTGCAGTGTTTAGTTTAATAGCATCCCTGGGTATCAGAGATATTCGAACACACTTTGCATTGATTCTTAAAAACAAATGCATAAACCCTTGGGATTATGTGGAAAGATTCCATTTCCCTCCGCACATACAATTATATACAAGGCATGAAAAAAAAACAAACTTACTTTGTTTGCATTATTATAAAGTATTTTGGGTATTTTGTTTAGCCATTTAACTAAAATGTTAAATGTTTTATTATTTATAGTTTTATTTTTCTTACAGCGTTCCTTTAAATAATGAAATCATATATATAATATATATATATATATATATATAATATATATATATATAGTAATATATATATATATCTATATATATAGATGGTTTCAAGGTTTTTCTCATATCTATTGTGTACTAAATGTACCAATAAGAATTTAATATTAATTATATGTATATTAAATGCTATCCATAACTTATAATTCATTTTTATGGAAACTAATTAATTCTTTATTAATGTTCAACAATAATATTCTTTCAGAATGAATTCATATATAGAACAATGAGAGTGTCTTCCACCAGAATGAGAGTGT